TTAAGAATCTAGACCTGAACACAGCAAGTTCTCTATACAAATGCAATAAATAAACATTCATTAATGGCCATAACATCCAAACAACATCAATGATGAACTATCATACAGACAAGAACTCATTAAATTACATTTCAGTAATTATTGCACGCTTTTGACATGGCTTTCTGCAAAGAAATCCTCTTAAGTCATTCAAATTAGATTAATTACGACTTATATTTCTTCTGCTTGTTACTTACCGGACTTAATTCCTTAGTTATTCATTACCTATGAAATATAAATATACATGAAAGCATTAATATTATGAAAATAATACGTGATTGAATGCTCCTGAATTTATTAAGTATTTAATTAATTATGACATTCACATGAATTTGCTTCGGCATTTTATGGATGGTTGAGTTTTCGAATATTTTTTGTTGCTATAAAGAAGCTGTGTTAATGACATGGTCCAAAACTGTCATTTTTGATTTTATTAAAAGCTAAGATTGAACAATGCTTATAATAGTTGCAGCATTAAGTCATAATGAAGACTGACCATCATTCTTTTAATACTTTTCACAGAACGTCTTTATTCTTTCACAAGCTTAATCAAGTCCTCAGGCACAGTCAAAACAATCCTGAAAAAATCCAAAAAAAAAAATAAAGCATGGAAATCCAGGCAAAACCTCAAAGACTCTCAACACTTTGCTCATTCAACAGTTGTTGTGTAAACTTAAGGCAGGTGTCAATTCCTGAAATGATTCCAGGATATGATTTTGTTAACATGTTAAATGCTGATAAGAAATAATAATTTTTAATCAAAAAAAGTAATTAAGATAACAAGCTTAACGTGTAATTATTTTCACAAATCTTATTCAAATCTTATCAGTCAACAACTAAGCTTAACTTTCATTTCTATTTTAAAATCTACAATGTGATTCCTACTTGTCATTCTTAATTTCCTTTGAATCCAATTTCATTTTCACTCTCAACTTTTTCCTAATTTATAGTCTCATCTCCAGCATATTTGTGTCTTATAGTTATCCCACTTGCTTGCTTGCTCACATGAAAATGAATTGCTTATAAGATAGAACCCAAACATATGGAAGCAAACAGAGAAGACGAAAATATTTTTTAAGGAACAAAATCAAATGAAATGGAAAAGAGAACATGAAATTGGGATATTGAGCATGAGAGATAACGAAAAAGAATTTTCTGGGGATTTTCATTAAAAAATTGAGAAAGTATAGAGACATAGAGTAGAAGGACATGTTATAAAGGATATGGAGGGTAAGTGGAAGCTTGTGTCAAGAGTTTTGAAGTTTAAATAATTTTTCAGCTTGTCGGAAAGATTTTTCTATTTCTTCTTGAGTTGGATGTACTGGAAGTTCTTTAGAATTTATGCTTGATAAAGATTTAAAGTTTTTGATGGTGGAAACTCAAATTGGAGTGCTTTGAAATATTTATCAAGATCATCAAAGAGAACAACATGGAATATTTGTTTTTTAAGTTTCCGGAGGAATGAATCTTGAGTTCTTTTACTGGATCATTTAAAAATTGTGAATCTAGAATCTAGAAAAGTTGAATTCCAATAAAAAAGCCTCTATATTAGTTGAAGTCTATCTTTAAATGACATCCGTACAATTTAAAATCATATGCATTGCCAAATCAGAACCCAAAAGTACAAGAGTTCCCAAAAACATTACAAAAACCCCAAACACACAAGATCCACTTAAAGAGTTACGGTCAATTAAGTGGAAAATGAAGATGTCTTTGGATGATTTCATCTAGAATGAAGCTCCGTTAAAGTGACAAATTTTCATTATATCCTTCATGGCAGTAAAATTAAACGAAAACAATTTCAAGAGGATTACATTACCTAATTGTGTTTACTTCATTAATGATGAGACAACAGCACATGAATGGAAATTATCACATCACAATAATTGAAAATTTCCGAAAGACAAATGACACATCCTCTAATTAAATTTGCCATAATCATGATGTTGATGATAATTGTGATGCATTTTGGTGCTTATTTGAGAGTGAATATTTGGGTTTGTTTGGAAATGACGTGAAGCATAATATCATACAAATCCGTCTTCCGACTTTGAGACTGAAAACACAATTCGGCTATTACACAGTTTAAGACTCCTCACTTCCTTTAAATCATATATAAAAAGTTGGACATCATAAGAGCATAACTCCATAAAGGATTTTAATTAGAATGAGATATGTGGGTCATTTGGATCATACGGAAAAGGAGGAGGAATTATAATTAGAAATTTCCTTTCAGGCTAGCGGTAATCGTATAAATCCGATATTCATATCATGCATGAGTAATTAGCACTTTATAAGCACAAAATGAATAGGTATTTCAAAGTGCATTATGCTGATTGAAATTCTATTTCTTGAAAAGGTTTGAAAGCAAACACAAACATGCACAAAGAGATTCATTTCATCAAGATGGATATTTAAATTAAGCTATAAAACAAATTTTTCTTTTCAATGTCTCTATTGAGTACTGATGTCACAATCTATTTATATGAGATACAGGAACAAGTTGCTTTAAATTAGGCAATTCTCATTTCAACTCTTTTGCATTAATTTTTATTGAAGCAATACTGCTTAATTGTATCGTTATAGGAAAGATAGACGGCAGTATCATTTAATTTAACAAGCCTTGTAATAGATATGAACATTGTGAGGGAATGTGGAATGGGAGTAAAGAATCATCAAAATGATTAAACACGTCCTGAATAGCACAAGTCGGTTAATTGAATAGAAAGCTGGAGTAACACTGGCTTGATCCGGATTTCTTTTCGATTAACCGACTTGTGCTATTCGGGTGTTATGCTCTTTAAGGCTAGTCTCTCAAAAGAAGCTTAACTAGAAACTAAACCTATATGCGGACAGACAAATCACAAAAAGCTAGCATTCAGCACTCGAAATTCAGATAATCCAATAATTCAACTCGCTGCGTAAAAAAAATTGGAATGAAAAGAGTTAATTTTTATTTTATTGTTATTATATTCCATTACAAACGAACGTACATGCCATAAGCTGTTTTCATATATATTTCCACAGTCTGCCTCCCTTACATATTACAACAATCATTATCTGATTTTTTAGCATTACTTTTATTATCTTCCTGTGATTTTTTAAATGGGTGACATAATTCGAATTCAAATTTTAGAAGGGGTTAAATGACTGAGAAGTTTTTAAGGCTTTCTCAGGAATTTTTAATGATTCGGAATTTTTAAGGTGGAAAATCATTAGAGCTTGTTTGTTTTGAGTCATCATTTCTTCATTGGGTTATTCATAAATGAAGTACAACTTTTATGAACATCCTTTTAACCTTGTTTGGAGGAAATGCTGCTCAATTTGAAAAAACTTTCAAAATCTACTTCAACTACCTTAAAATAAGGTTTACTAAGCTACAATGGTTTTACTCATCAATCATTTACACATCAGATGCACAGCATGTTTCCTTTTGAATTATCCGTGCACCAGAAAAATAAATAAAGGAGGTTTAAAACTACATGCTGAGTATGGTTTGGATTGAACACCAGGAGCAGAAATCGATACCTTCAATAATGAGAATGTCATTCAATGATTATTATAAAAAGAATCAATCTTAATATCCGTATGCTAACATGTCTGATATGGAATAATGGAAATGGATGTCTTGAAACACAATATTTATTTTAAATGCTTTTATTACAATTATTTTGTGAGCTGGTCCAATATTTTTATTAGATGACTAGCTTGAACTTACTTGACTAGCTTTATGTAATACGTTCTTACTGCTATATCAAGGTTGCAGCTATCATCTATATCTAGTCCTCCTTTTAAGAATTGTCACCATAACCTTCATGATGCTTTCTATTAACGCAATTAAGATTTTTTTCAATATCATCTTAATTACTTCCGCACACCATAAAGATTAATAAAATTAATGAGAATGCCAATAAAAAAAGATCAAGAATGAAAGTAAAAGTAATTAAGCGAGCCAATAAGAAATCGATGCACAAAAGAAGAAAGTAAAAATTTATTACCGATAAAGCACCGATTGTTGATACCATAAATTCTTAACAGCTGCCCGTAACTCATTAAAAGGTGCTGAAATTGAAGCTGCTTGGTTACTAAGTGGTTTACTTTTCACATGAATCTTTCCTTTAATCTCAGTCGATACTATAAATATCGGAAGTTGGATAAAGAAGAGCTAAAAATAGAATAAGAAGAAAATATGAGCATCGAATGTTTAATTGATATTAAATGGCAGTAAAAGTAGTTTTTTGATGACGCACACAGACCTGAGGAGCTGATTTAAACTGACTTTAAGATTTGTTTCTACATTATAAATGGGAATAGAAACTGGGATCTAAAATTCAATTTCTCTTTAGAGATCATTCGTGATTGTCCATTAAGTAAATGAGTTCCTTTTAAGTTTGGATCAGTACTTGCTTACTAAATGAAGGTAAAGTTTGAAATTATTTTTTAAGAATCACAGAATTAAAAAATAATTGTTCCTTGAAATACAACGGGCAGTTTCTGGAGCTACCTGACTAAGGATTGCTAACCTCGGCTAACTCTAGAAACCGTCCATAAAGAACTTATATATTCAAATTTCAATTGTTTGCTATACCAAAATTCGAAATAAATCATCAATGAACAATACTTTAGTCAACAATGACTCATAAAACTTAAAGATTCTCAATTTGAACTATTAAATGTAGAACAACAAATCTTAAATCAATCTTCATAAAAGTTAAAACAAAGATCAATCTGTATGCATTCAATCTTTTTGTAAACGTCTTCAAAGATTGTACAAAAAAATATATGAAAGTAAATAAACAAAAAACACCTGAATTTCTTCACAAGTCTTATGCATGTATCACTCAAAGATTGTTTACAAGAAAACAAAGATCGATCAGTTCATCTACCCTAAACATTCGACTCATTTTCCTAATTTGAAAACATTGAAGGTTAAGAAACATTGAAACAATGAGAGATTTTTTTCCACATTCAACATTGAGTGAAGTTTATTACTTTATAAACAACATTAATATTACATAAAAAAGAGAGAAAAATAGGAAAAAAAAGAGTTGTAAATAAGGAACACATGTTTGAAGATGATGATAGACTTTTAGCAGTTTTGCACAAATTCTTTTCAACACTTTTAATTGTTCTCATTAATTACTTTTTATGATGTGTAGCAAAAGCACACAAAATTTAGAGCACTCGAGTAGACTTTTATCTTGACACAAATAATTACTGATTAATTGATATTGAAGGCACATCTCGTATCGGGATATTTCCAATTGTTATTGGCATTTTAAGGGACGGCGATGGTGAGCATCCATCAGTTAGGACATTAATCTTCAGTTCATATGATATTTGAAATACTTGAGTATAGAGACGATTTGTGATCGTCAAGATTTGCGGAATTTGTAGGACGTGATAAATTTTTGCCTCGGAATTCTTGCTCACTCCATCTGCTGTTGTTTCAGTTATTTTAGTTTTATTTACACGATCTTTCTTCACAGGATCACTACACACAAACTTCTCTTTTCGCCATAAGGCAATTTCTGTTCGATCGACACAATGACTGCTCATATTATTGTACTCTATTGTAATGTGCACATTTTCGCCCAAAGCAAAGCCAGATTTTGGCAAGCGTATTTTAATTTGTAATGGATTTTTGTCACAAATTCCCCAGCAAAACTTTTTAATCTCTTCGACCTCTTGTGCCATTCTCAATTCCGGAAATAAGTTGAGATCTTCACGGCGGGCAACAGTGAATGGAAGCTTCGCATGTAAATCGCATATTGTCCATGGAATATCTAGACATGCGTCAACTTTGTATCGAATATGTCCATGTTCCCCATCAACTGAATATGGAAGATTTGGAGGCAATCTACAGCTGAATTTATAAGTGTGAATTCCGGCAGGAACTTCAGCAGAATCACCGTCTATCTCACCAAACAAATATGTAACAACATCCAAATGCTTTTGTTCTCCTTGAAATGTTCTTGTTGTTTTACCTACTGATTCCGTCCATTCTGATACACTCTTACCTTCCACCGTCAATCGAAGGCCTAGAAAATAAAAGTAGAATACACAATTTATATATTTTTGAATGTACTCCCCCCCATCTCACGCCAACATCTTATTTTTAAAACTGATTTTCACATGTGTTTGGGAAAAATCACTTTTCTTTCTCTGATTTTTTTTTCTTTTCTTTTCTACTCAATTTCATATGAATGAAAGCTTAAAGATGATGTGTATATAGGCAGAAGATTGTGTATCTTACAGAATGATTGGCCTTGAACTAGGAATTTATTCACGTATATAATATTTTTCGTCTACGTGGCGACATTTATTTGATATTAAATGACTTGTAGAATTTACTGAGTGTTTTTATAAATTGGGACAAGGAGACGATGAACGAGAAAAATGGAAATTACTTTTGCAGAAAATCTGAATAATTTCCAATTTTATATTCGAATAAATCGAGTGTAAAATATTTTAGCTTCTTTTTTTGCTGTGGACGGTGATGAGTGATTGCTCGCTTTGGGCTGATAAAATCCTTTGATCAAAATTGTTGATCTTGGCTAAAGATAAAGATAGCTTTTCAAGTTATTGGTGTTGTAATTTGTAAAGTACTGTAATTATTAAGGATTCCTTTACTTATGACGTCCATGAATTAAATTAAGTTTAATAACGCTTTTAACAAAATGTCATAAAAGTACGACTTCATACAATAAATCTCCAAAACCAACACTTATGCATAGATTTGAAACTTTTATTTGAAAAGATCCTTTTCATTAGCAACTGATAGGATGTTGTCATCGATTATATGCATCTACAGGCAACAAGTAGTTTAATAGCTGACTTGTGAAACACAAAGGATCTTTATGACAGAATCTGCTTTCTTTGTTTCGCTTAGGTCAATAATAAACTTATTCTGAACGGCACACAAGCGGATAGAATACTTTGACCAAGGAGCAGCAGCTTTGCAAAGGCAGAAATTTGACATCCACTTGAAAATGTGTGCCAATCGAGGATGTTTAATGATTGCAATATTATTTACAACAGCGCAACCGAACTACGTTGTTCTATCAGATCTACGATTTGAATAAGTTAATCCTCGGTAGTCTAGTGGTGAGTATATCATCGATAACCATATGCTTAAAATTTTGTAGGATTGTCTTTCATTTTTTCAGATTTTTTGATCCTAATTTGCAGTTTCAATTTTTTTTTTCAGTAATTCTAGGTATGATCCATAAATGAACAATTTACTCAGAAGTGTCTTCCAGATCAAAATTCAAAACAAACAAGCCTTGATTGAAAAGGAACAATCCAGAACCAAAGAGTAAAGGTCACATCATAAAGAAATGCGCTCTATATACACAATCATGCCCACCACATGTTGCTATACAGCAATAAAAATTTCGATTTGCATTCTGTACATTCATTGAAGCTTCTCACCTCGTGCCTTCTTAATTGTTTCAAAAACTTTCAAATCGACAGCACCTAGAGTAGAATAATTCAATTTTTAATAACTCCTGTTTCAGTTTTGATTTATTAATCGATAGATGTTTAGTATTACCGCTGACAACTTGACACGGATAGTAAACCGCAGATGTGTTATCGAGAGTAATCGATATTGTGTTACTTTTGCCCATTTTTTCTAATATTAATTTGGAAAATTTATGATCGGTTCCTTCTAAATTTATTTATATCTATACAATATTTTTTTTGCTCCTACAGCGCGAGAGAACCCAAAAATGATGTTTTATCGACACAAAAATAAAAATTAAACTAAACAGCGAAATGAGAAAGAAAATTTTTTTTGGCGGTTGAAAGAAGGAAAAACTTACTTACGGAAACATTCTGCGCGTGTTTTCTTATAAACAAAACATTACTCACCATTCATGCATTATCTGAAAATTTACTTAAAGTCTTTATATATAGACATCTACTTTTATCTTGTAATGAAAGACATCACGCGACTTAATTGCTTTTACAAGTTAATGTATTTATTAACTTTTATCATAAGCATCAAATGCATTGCAATAAAGGAAATTGTACAAAAATAAAAAAGTATTAATACCTCTACAGTGTGTGTATATATACTATCAATACGAGTACATAGGACGTATTATTTACGTTCAGTTATTTTTAAATGTAAATATTTATGAAATTTAAATGCTTTTTTCTATTTCTTTTAAGCGCATTTCTCGTAGTAAGAGTTTACAAGTGTGTTCTCTTTTGCTGTCTGGCTTAAATTTGATTGATTACTGGATGTTTATAGAATTAGTCAAAGAAATTGAAAAAATAATCAAGCATGTCATTACAGTTTTGTTTAACCAATAAATGTCTCAAATTAATTAATCGACGATCTTTCATTCTGTGGAACTGATTTAATTGAGAGCAACGGAAAAAATTTGAAAGTGTAACGGTCAAAATTTAAATTTCTGCATCATTTTTCGAAAATACGTTAGGCAATAAATGGTCTTTTAATCCAGACTTGCGTCATTTCATTTCGAAAAAATTCGAAATTGGCTTCAAAAAATTCGAAATTTATTTCGAAAATTTAAACTCAATTCAACCGGTAAAACTTTAAAAAATTCTATGCTGAATTTTGAGCATTTTAGCTATGATAACTACTGTCAACTCGCTTAGAATCAAAGCTTGTTATTTTTTATGATCATTGATAAGCTTTAAAATCATGAATATCAGGAAACAAAAGAGTTTTTTGCAGAAATATTTTCAAGAAATTTTTACACTTATACAGCTTAATAATCTGTAGCTTAATTAAAGCAAAATTTTGTTTTATGCTTTAACGGAAAATAAATTTTGAAATTTCAAAATTTTACATAACTGCAAACATTCGAAATGACGCAAGTCTGTTTTAATCTTCCAATAATCACCAAAATCATGACTAGCTTCTTCGTACTAATGAAATGCGCTTAGCAACAAAACCATTAGATGCCATTCCTTACAAATTTTTATTATATTTAAGAATACTTAATTGAGTGGCACTTTAATTGGCGAAATGGCTGGATATATCGGAGCCGTGGGCATTTGCGATGAGAAATTCCAGACTGGATAACGTGGATTAAAAATGCTGATATTCGCGTCATCGACAGACATTTCCGGTACAATTTGTGTGGCTTCTTCATAAGATGGTGGTGGTAAATCCATTGGATGGCTTATTGACGGTGCTGAAGGCTGTGAACTGAATGAGGCATCAAATAATGTATTATATTGGGGTATAGGCAATGATGCTAATAATGGATTAGTGCCGATTTTAATTGGAATGTTCAAATATGGATTCTTGTGAGCACCGTTAACTTTTGCGACTACACGAAGTTGATAGCATGTCGTAATGATACGACTATAATTAATATTTGTTGGTGATAATGGTGGAATTTCTAGGGATATTCTAACTTCTCCAGATCCAGATTTGATCATTCCAGTTCCATAAACTTCTTTTACTGCTAACAATTCACTTCTGATTTTCTTCCTTGGATTTTGACTTATATATTGTGTACTTCTCTCTAATGTCACCTTAGTTCCTTCAACATCAACATTTGATTGATTATTCATAAAGATTATTAAATCGACTTTTTGTCCTGGTACATATCCAGAAAATGGAATAGCTGCAGACATATAAAATGGCTTAGACTTAAAGCAACAACAATAAAAATGTCGGATAATTTCACTCTTTGTTGGAATCGTCAATGATGGAATAGCATTTAAATCTTCTGATTTAATGACACTAAATGGTAGCCTGAATTCCTTATCAGTTTTTAACGGACGATCAAGTACTGCTTTACAGCTATATCTTATATGTCCATATTTTCCTTCAAACGATGACGGTAAACTTTCAGGCAGCATACATGCAAATGAATACGTTGTGATTCCAGCAGCTAAGTCTAAATTCGGTCCCGATTCAGTTCCTAGTAAATATGTCACTTGATTCAAATAATCTTCACGACCTTTATATGTAATTGAACGCCGACCATTTCCACGACCTAAAGTAATGCAAACAAGTAAATAAGAAAATGTGCATGTGTGGATATAAATGATTACCTTTTGTGACAGTCCAGCTGCATTTTGCATAGCCCTCAATTTTCAAATAGACTGCTGTTAAAGAATCAAGATAATTATATTATAACTAAGGTTGAAATGAGTTTACATAAAGCCATTGCGTTAGGTCAAGAACTGAGCACACAAATAATTTTCGTTCATGTAAAAAAAAGTTTCACTTCATGAATCATCACTAAAAGTTTACATTTGTGCATCAAAAGATATTTTTATATTCACACCGTTTTCATGTGTGAATCTATTGGTTTTGTTCAGATTGAAAAATCAGTTTTTCGCATTTTGTGAGAAAACAAAGTAAAATTGGTTATAAAAGGTCACGGAAGAAAAGTTTGTGCCTGAATTTTTAAATCATTTTCAAAAAACAGATTTCAAATTGGTTGTGGCATTGCTGAGAAAGTCGCAAAATGCGCTTTCTGTAAGCAAACAAGCAAGCAAGCAAGCAAGCAAGCAAGCAAGCAAGCAAGTTAATCAGCAAGAAATCTCGATAACGAGACATTGTAGAGACTTCTAGATTTTTACATTTGATCCGTGCTGCTCTATAGAAGAGCTGTATTGTTTTTGGGCAAGGTAGGAACAGCCGTTGCTTCAGAAATGGCAAAAAACTTTCCTTTCTTACGAATTTTTTAAAACAAAAGTTGACTGTGATTTTTATAAAATTCAACTTTGGATGAAAATTTTTTTTTGAAAAACTTTTAAAGAATATTTGGCATATTCGTCAAGCTTTATACCTTCAAACTTATGCTGAGCGTAGCTCAGCTTACGCGATAGCTTTATAACTTCAACTTATGCTGAGCGAAGCTTAGTTGACTTATCAAGCTTCATACCTTCATACTTATGATGGGCAAATCTTGGTCTATCCATAAGACTTATGATAGTACGGTGTGAATATAATCCGCATTGGGTTTCTACCCGATACACTAGTTTAAATTAAACTTTGGATGAAAAAAATTTTTTTGAGCAAAGAACCAAGAAGGAAATACATTTTCAATTTTGGACTAGGGGCGACCCTAGTCAAAATCAAGTTTTTCACTTTTTTTCTTCGAAGGTTTATCCAATTACAGTAAAACTTTGTGTAAGTATACTAATATTTATACAAAACAGTTTTAAATATCTAAAGCAACAAGTGTATTCTATATGTCGTCAGACCCAAATTTTATAATTTTGGATGCACATTCAAAAACAACGTGATTTAAAATTTTGTCCAAAAATATGATTTTTATTAATTAAGAAATGTGTGACCTGAGGATTAGAATGCTCATACAAAGTTTTACTGTATTTGGATTTATCCTCGAAGAAAAAAGTGAAAAACTAGATTTTGACTGGACCTGTCCCAAGTCCAAAATTGAAAATGTATTTCCTACTTGGTTCTTTGCTCAAAAAAATTTTAGGATGTTTTATTTGTATTTGTTTTAAGCACTAGAATATTTATGCAAAGTTTCAATCCATTTGTATAAACCCTCAAAGAAAAATGTGACAAAATTGATTTTGACTAGGGTCGCCCCTAGTCCAAAATTGAAAATTGATTTTTTATGGTGTACTTTTGTCAAAAAAATTTTTTGCATGTTTTATTTGAATTGACATAATTCTGACATAAATCACATACCAATATTACTTTTTGTAATGCATAGCTTAAAAAAATCAAAAACTAAAATTTCGATTACCCTATCTGAATTTTGTTCATACTCTTCACTGTGGAAACCAACATTTATGAGAAAATGTGGTTCAAATAAGTGTGAGGTATGGCCGAGATTTGGACCAAAATCAGCTATACTGGTTCATAGTGTTCCCGAGGGTGACAAAATTCAAACTAAGTGTATTTGTAGCTGACATAATTATGACATAAATTAGGTATAACTTTTGAACTGTGTCGATATGGGTCTCGGCCGTACTTCACACCCACCCTTCAAACTTATGCTGAGCAAATCTTGGTCTATCCATAAGACTTTTGATGGTACGGTGTGAATATATCCGCATTGGGTTTCTACCCGATACACTAGTCTATTGCAGATCTTGCTTCTTTTCAATTAATTTGTGTGTCCAAGCCTATTAAACAATATAATTGAACCTTGAAGATGCTACCATGATAATCTATTGTTCCTCATTCCATTCAACTTACATCGAACTTTTTTCTTTTCGGACAAATTTAAGATAACTTTGCCTGTTATCATCTGTCCTGATAAGTAAGTTCCATTTGGATTGTTGTCAAACTTAATTTCACATGAAGTCACCATTTTTGGATCAACTTAAGACTAAATTAAATAATTTAAATTTTTTTGATTTGATGGTTTTTAAAGCTATTCGCGTTGAAATAACGAATGAATAAATTTGTTGCTTCTGCTTATAATGTCACACGAAAAAAGAAATATTTAACGACTTAACAACACCGATCAGCAGTGAAGATTATGTAACAAAATTTGAGCATTAAGCCTAAGTGAAGTTATTTTCGTTGAAAAAGCTATCGACCGTCTTTAAGCTTTTTGGGTAAAAAGTTCGTTAAATCAGCAATTAGACCATGCTGCATTAAGTTTAACGGTTTTGTAAAATTTAAACAATTTTAAGGCAAGAAAGATACAAAATTGTGAATCTAGCAAAGTTTATGTACCTGAAAATAAGCAAATTAAGGAAAATTCAAGATATTTCACTTTTAAAAGATGTTCATTTTATTATGATTTAAAGTGAAAATTCAACACTTTTTTGAATTAAAATTCTTGGTTGCGAATTGCACCGCTTGTTTTTGCTGCAGGCTTTGACAAGAAATCAGCATAAGTTTCATATGGAGTCTTGGTCAATGGCATTTCTTTCCATAAATCTGGTGTCAAGAATGCGTATGTTTGCATGATAGCAGAGTATGTAGCCTTGGCGAAGTTACCCAAAGTTGTAGTTGATCCACGACATTGAGTATAACAATCTTCAATACCAGCCATCTGCAAAAGTTTCTTTGGGACTGGAGCTGAGACAATGCCAGTTCCTCTTGGTCCAGGAATCAATTTAACGCTTACGGAACCGCACTTTCCAGTAACCTTTAAGTATGGAAATGACTCAATTAGTAAAGGAACTAGCAATAAGTATAATTAGAGATTTAAGGGTATAGTCAGACATTCTTAAGCCATCTTAGAATCGTAAGATTCTCCGTGGAAACCGCAAAAGAATTTATAGTAATTTCATCATTCAAATGGAACTTAAAAGTAAAAATGGATATAAAGCTTACCTTGCAAGGTACTGTATGTGGTTTTCCGATCTTGTTACCCCAATATCCTCTACGGACTGGAACAACAGACAATTTAGCCAAAATAATTGCACCTCGGATAGCTGTAGCTACTTCCTTGCTGCATTTTACTCCCAAACCAATATGTCCATTGCTGTCTCCAATAGCGACAAATGCCTTAAAACGTGTACGTTGACCAGCACGAGTTTGTTTCTGTACAGGCATGATTTTCAAGACTTCATCACGTAATGATCTTCCCAAGAAGAAATCAATGATCTCGAACTCTTTGATTGGTAATGAGTACAAGTAAATTTCTTCCAATGAACGGATCTTTCCATCACGAACCAAACGTCCTAATTTTGTGACTGGAACCCATTCTTTTTGATTTCCTTCTTTATCACCACGTCCTCTACCTCGACCTCCTCTTCCTCCACGTCCACGTCCTCTACCTCTTCCTCTACCCCCAAATCCTTGTTTAAAGCCTCCACGTTGGGCTGGAGCTACGTCCGCCATTCTATTAAAGACATAATTAAACTCTCATTAGCATCATTTTTTGCTTGTTTTAAAGTTAAAAATCTTGTTTAATCAACTAGTTTGGAATCAGTTTTAAAAAAGCCATCTCTAAGCTAAATGAATAGCTCTCTGGAGGAAACCGCAAAAGAATTAACTTTGCTTCATCATTAAAATAAAAATGCTTCAAAAAATAACCTCAAAATCTACTTTTTTTGATTTTAAACATTTTAAATAAGAAATCGATGATTTTAATAGTTTAATTAACTTTAAATCTGTAGATTGTTATGTTGGAAGCAGTTTAAAGCACTTTTGAATAGTTAATTACACTTAGAAATGATTAAAAATAAGAGAACTTACATTATGCGTGTTGTTTCTTCGAAATCTGAATCAAAAAGAAATAATTTTGTTCCTTAACTTACGAAGTCACTTCCTCCGTCGAGGGGCCTATCATGATATGAATATTTTTTTACCGTTATTTGCTAGTTTCAAAATCATTGAAAGTCTCGGAACCACAATGATTCAGAATCGAAAAAATTGTTCAAAAATTCAAAAATTTCGTGTTAATTAAACTCTGTCTTTTGAATGCCAGATTAAAGATCTTACTTTTATGCATATCCTTTAAAAATATCTCGCTCCTATTTGCTGTCAAACTCCAGAAATCATTAATTTAATCTCACCCGAAATTTGTTTACAATTTGAGTATGAAAAAAAATATGATTTTTTCTACTTTAAGTTGTTATTTGGATGTCTTGGAAGCAGTTGCTAGCTTATTTAAGCTTAGCTTTACGTATTAAAACAACCAAATGAATAGAAATCTGCTTATTAAGACTTAAAAATGGAAATAAAATCTGAGTATTTTTAAGTATAGTATTCTCTGAAACCTATACAAACCAATTAATTAAGCTTAAATCTATCTCCCATATTACTGAGGACATGCCATTTGATGCCGTTTTCGAGATATTTGCGATCAAAGTTTACATAAAATTTCATACAAAATTTGATCATGCACAATAATTTTTGATAAACTTTTGGTAAAAAATCATGTTTATCCTTTATATTAAGGACTGATTTTTTGAGCAATGAACGAAAACATTGTGTAGAAGATGCTTAAAGAATCAAATCAAGAGAAATTAACAAAAACTTTCAATCAATTTTCTAATGTGTCGGAAAAATATTGTGCACAAGAAATTTTTGAACATTTTTTCCAAATCTGAATTATTGTGGGAACGTAAACAAAGTAATTTAGCAAGATTTTAAGACATTTATAGGCACTTAATTCATTTCTTTCTTTTTCTAATAGATGTATTTAAAGTATGTTTTATTATACAGTCCCAATGGTTCCTTAAATCGTAAGTTTAAATGATTTTCATACATTAAAAATTGAAAAATCCTCTAATTTTCCTGTTTCTAACTCTCCAGACACTCACAACTGTTAGATTTGAGTTATAATTAACGGTCTGCAAACATTCAAGTGCTGTTTTGTTTATCTCTTGAAGGGAAGTGACTTATCACATCCAATCATTCTAATTCCTTAATTAACCAGCTTTCTAATGGACTACAAATGGTGAGACTACACTTATTCAATGCTGTTCCTTATTATAATTCACTTACCGGTGCTAATTTCTTTTAGGAAGTACGTAAAACTTGACAGAAATGATAGTCGGAAGTTTTTCAATTTCGTTAATTCTAATTTATCACATCCATTGAGAGAAGAAAAGACTATTGTAAGTTATTAAGCTCATTAAGCATTAATCAACCGACTAATTAATGTATATTAAAGGTGTTCGACAGTAAAGGAACTAAAAATAGACTGTCATCATCTGTATCATCAAAGTCATCAACGTTAGACCTTTTTGACGGGTTTGATGACCCATTAAGTCAATTTGCTCGACAAGAGCTGGATCCTTTATCTCAAATGGCAGCAGAAAATGATTTAAATAATTTAATTATAAAGAAGAAAAGTGCTTTAGTAGATACAACATCCGCAGTTCAGTCATGGAACTCGAGAAAGGCCATAATTCTCAATAAATACACGACATCCGAGAAGCTATCAATAGCAACAAGTTTCTTGGGCATAGAAAATGTAGTCAGAAGTCAAACGACTGTGGAAAAAGTAAAGCATCGATTGGAACAAATTGATGACTTTCAGGATATCCACTATATGCAAAATCTGACTCAACAGGAATATATCGGGAAAATTAATCAATTAAATGCCGAATTAATTGAGGCTTGGAAGACTGATCAACGAGTCAAGTCACTCAAAATCGCCATTCAGTGTTCAAAATTACTGTCTGATGCCACATCCGTAATGCAATTTTATCCCTCAAAGTTCGTCTTAGTCACTGATATCCTTGACATTTTCGGAAAACTCGTTTACGAGAGACTCAAATCAAAGTCTGAAAATGAGTGAGTGATATTCTTATTGATTAAAGTACTTTCCAGTAATAATCTCATTATTTTAAAATAGAAAAAGCCTGCCTGACAAATTCACGCCAGACCAGATACCCGAGTCAGCTAAAGAAACATGCCTAAACTGGTTCTACAAGATATCATCCATACGAGAGCTTTTACCAAGACTTTATGTTGAAATGTGCCTAGTTCGGTGCTATAATTTTATAAATCCAAGGTAATGTCTTAATTTTGACAATTTTATAATAACAGAATACCAATTAAGGACAAATTGATTATTTAGAGAAATTGATGCATCCCTTTTGAGGATATCAAGAATGATTAGAGGAATTGGAGATCCACTTGTCGGTGCTTATGCTAGATGTTATTTAGTAAGAATTGGTGTAACAACTAGTAAAAGCCATGAATATTTGAAGGAATGCTTTGCTGATTTTCTCAGTGTCTATCATACTGTAAGTCACGCAAAACTAGTTTCTCAGTATTATAGAGTATTATTAACGTAAATTTAATTACAGATTTTCAACACAGGCATCAGAGCGGAAATATTGAAGCAAAATATCGAATTAAGTGTCTATTTCTCACTTTACGCTCCAGCTTTAGACTTTATTGTTCAAAATTATGCAGCAAGTGCTACTGATGTTCAATTAGAGGAGTTTCTAACGCATTGTAAAGACAAGAAAAACAGTTCATTGTTATTGCTGACAATTTTACATTCTTTTCGTCCCGAATTCATATCGTCGAGATCTGTTGAAATGGTTTCCATTCTAGCCGAAACAAATAATGAAGGTATCACGAAAGGCTCTTTATTTCGTCAATTGGGTAACATTGTGAGTCTATTTCCGCCACCTGTCGAACAACGAGTATTGTTATTTAATGAAGCATGGAAAACCATTAGTACAATCACAAATGTTGGCGATTACATGGCTTGTGTTGAGCTGTGGTCTCAATATATAGCAAGTAATTTCGATATAATAACACTCAATACATTCTTTGGTGATGTTCTCACTCGTATTGTTCAGAAGCGAGCATTTGAGAGATATTATAATGAACTTCAAGGTTTAATGGATAAAGTTGTATCGAATGTTATCGATTTTCATGGACTGCTGAGCATGGTATGTAGTTTTATGTTTCAATTGTCATTTGAAAGCATTTTTGCTAGGTTGAAGGAGCAGTGAAATTGTCTATGTAAAAGTTGATACAAATGCGTATTATCTGAGAGAAATTGAGTAACGTGCGTACAGCACGAATCTTCACGTGCATATTAAACGCGTATTATCTGACAACATTCATTTATGCGCGTACTATCTAAATGAATTTAACTTATGCGCGTATTATTTAAACGAATTTAACTTAATGCGCGAGAAATATTGAAATATGACTTGAATAAAGCTAAAACCTCTAAATCTTCATTTTAAAATTATCTTCGTCTTATATTTTTGTATGTAGGAATTTTCAAACAATCATGACGAAAATGCTTTCAATTGAAAAAATATTAAATAATTCACGTCAATAATTTCTATTTATTTAGGATAATTTCCTCCCAATCCTCGACTTGTTTCAAAAAGAATCCATCAAGTTTGAAGTGTGCAAGAACATACTTGAAAAATACAAGATATTCTGTTCGAATGACGAGAACAACTTTAGCTTAGTAATAAATGATCCGGTGACAATTAATGCATTTATGTGTGTGTCAAAAGCTCTTAATGATGGTGTTAAGTAAGTATAGTATTAATATTGAGGACAATTATGGCTTAACGATGCTCATAAATATACTTTAACAGTGCTTTAACGAGTGATGATGAACGACGACATATTGGAAATTTAATAAGCTTTTTCATCCTTCGCGTTAATTTTGGACGAGATTTTGAGCAACAGCTGACATTTTATGTTGATGCTCGTGGCTCGTTTGCAAATCTCGATATCGTTCTACACGCCCTCGTAAATTGTGTAAATAAATTGTCTATCGATACGAGACGAATTGTTAAAGGAAATCACACAAGAAAGACGTCAGCTTTTGTGAAAGCCTGTACTGCATATTGTTTTATAACAATCCCATCAATCATCTCAATAACACAACGATTGGATTTATATTTGGAATCGGGGAAAATTGCTTTAGCCAATTTATGTTTAGGACAATCAGACGCTAGCTTTGAAGCTGCCATACATTTACTATCGGAATTACCGAAGTTTTTTGAGATTGAAGGACGTCAAAGGAGCTCTGAAACTTATTTACAAAGTTATGTCCTCAAATTTCTGTCGCTGCTTGTTTTGGTGCCGGTAAGTTTTCGTGTTGAACTTTTTCAACTTAAACGGATTTTTGGAATTTGAATTTTATTTTTGCTTAATTTTTTGAATGTCCAAAATCCGTTAAAAATTCAAATTTTGAATGTTTGTTAAATATTAATTCTCCGCTTTAAACTGAAATCAAATTCCAACTTTCCTTAATCCAATTCAACAGGATTCACCAGAAAAGGGTGTGTTGTATCTCTTGCGATTACTTATCGATAAGTTGAATGAAATTGAATTTGATTCAACGCAGCAGCTGACAACAAAGTCCACAATTGAGATGAACATTCTCGACATGTTATGTTATTGTGCACAGGATACATATCCATATCATTTACAAAATGTCATTTCAAATGACCAACTTTACGGAGCGGATGTAAAGTTTATAAATGAAATAAATGAGATATCAACAGGATTGCTGTGTGATTTACTGCAAGAATTACAACGGATGAGCGAAAGACCAAAGCAGCAATGTCAAATGGCACTTGATTTATTTGAACGTGTGGCAATGAAATCTGATTTATGTGATGATAAAATGTTTACACTGGCTGTAAATTTATGGAATTTATCGATCAAAAATCGTCATCTGTTGATGGATGGGAAAATTCATCATAAAATCTATCGACATATGAAAGCTGTGAGAGGAACATTAAGGAATCGTAACTACTATCAACGATTCGATGAACTGTTAAATCGAATAGAAAAGAAATTATGAGATTCTATGCTGTGCTGTACACAAATGATTCTTAAGAGGATTTTTATAATGAGATTTTTCTACATAGCAACTCCATATTTATTACAAGTTACTATCTTTACTTCCTACTTATGCTGAATCTTAAACGACATTCCGTGCAAACTTCAGTCAATTTGGGCTTGACAACATCATCAAATCAAGTCAATTTGGGAAATTCTTTTATGAATGAGTAAGGACCGAAAGTGGTTTACCATAATGACATCATATCTTGTCCTTATTGCTTATTTTTCCTTTTGAAATTGAAATTTTCAATTTGTCATTCAATAGTTTTATGTTATTCCATTGAATGATTTGGATTTTGTTTAAATGTGTTTCATTTGTCAATGGCTAGGTTCAAATATCTGAAAAATCAATCAATTGCTGGTTTTCTTCACTTTCTCTATTGAGAAAGATGCTCCTGAAATGCTTAAACTTGACAGAAATTGGTGTAATAGAACTGATGTGTTTTGGTTGTATTGGCATTTAAAATGTATTTTTATATTAATAGCAGCACCTTCTGTATGTATCTGATCTGCACATGAGCCTTGGAAATTGCCATGTAACTTATCATGACTCTTGTGTATCTCAGGTCCAAAATTGTTATCCACATGAAATAATAAAGCATGCATAAAGATGAAAAAATGACATTTTTTATTGTTTTTAAAACTAGAATGTTTATTAAATTGCAAAATTTGAACAAAATTACAGAAAAAGGATCCTGATAATTATAATAATAAAAATGAATTAATAATGCTGTTTTGTGATGGTGTGTGATTATGCAAAAATTTATTTAATTAGTGACAGTTTAAAAAAGAAACTTAAACCTATAAGTAAGTAGAAATCATTTAAATTCCTCACATTGGCTGTTAATACTCATAAATTATTTAATTTGCGGCATTTGCTGTGTCCTTTCATTTTCTTTCTTTTTTTTTGGGTCTGTCGGATATGAAATAGTTTTTTTTTCTTTTGTTTCTTAAAGCCAGGGTTCGTAAACGATTCTTCGATCATTTGACAAAACCTGCTTAAAACTGTTTCGCGAATTAGATGAGAGAAGTTAGAAGAATAGACAAAACGGCAAATGACTATTATTTAATTATAATAATTTTTTCATTCCTTTTTTTAGTTTAAATACATTCACATTATTAATTTAGTATAATTAAGTACTTATGCTGTCTTTTTAGTTTTTTTTTCCTTGGGCATTATCTCAATTTAATAATTTTTCTTTAAACTTTAAATTTAATTAAAGTTATGTTTTATTTATATTCCTCAATAATCATTAATTGTGACATGAAATTAGTATTAACATAAATTTTTTAAACAAGCGAGTGACTGTATGAGTGGTTATTGGTAGAGTTGGTTGGCTTAAGGTCTTATCTGATCATTTCTATAAGTTAACATTGTTGCTTTCAGGCAGTACGTAAACAGCATTAGGAGACGTAATTTTCTAATTGAATTCCATTTTCTTGTACGTAACACTTGCATGGATTAATTGTACGTAATTTTTGTATTCAACGCTCATTTTCACATACGTTATTTCAGTTACGTAAAATCTTTGACGCACGTATTTTCTGTTACGTAAATTATTAATTAAGGAGCAATTCCATTAGATTTTGTATGATTTTAGAAAACCTTTAGTGCAATCTACAAGGACCGTCAGTTCCAACAAGCAACCAACTCTGCGAGAATAAGATTTTTTTGGGGAAAGGAAATTGTAAGTTTTGCCATTTTTATTTAATTTAATTTACCAATTAACCACAATTAATTTAATTCTTGATTTATGATTTAATTGCTTTCAATCTAATTTATAGCGATTATTTACGCCCTCCTGAACATCGTTTTAATTACTTTTTTGTTTTATCTATGTTTTTGTTAATATTATGCATGTGTCGTGAATTTTTAATTCTGCAAAGAAACTTTGAGATACAAAAAAATAAGGGCCCGATTTCTCAGAGACTGGTACGGTACGGAATAGGTACACCAATAGTAAGGTATATCTCTATACCATATCAGGTTTACCTTTATCGTGCCGTACCTTACTTAAGGTATCATTACAGGAGAAATCGGGCACAGGTCAATTAGGGTCGCTATAAGTCGGACTAGCTATTATTTCAATGGCCAAGGATTATTTTAGCCAAATTTTCAACCCCGAAATACAACATTGTGCTGCAAATGAGAAATGATAAAAACAAAACATAAAAATCATAATTTTAAATAAGAACGTCTTATTTTCTTTTATTTCATCAACGTAATGAGCGGAAATTGTATAATGAAAGAAAGTTTTTTTTAATACCGCAAAAAAACATAATAAAAATCAAAAAAAAATATCTGAAATGAAAATAAGAAATAAAAAGTGAGAATAAATGTGTGTGGCCGGTCAAAAAAGCTTTTAACTTTCGCATGTATTCTTTTCTATTCTTTGATATTTAAAAAAAAAGTTAGAAAATAGTAATAATACATTTTTTGTATCTTCATTTCTTTCTTTTAAATTCATTTTTGCATAAGATTTTTTTTTTTCTGTGAATTTGAAATCCATATTTTTCTTTTCTTGTTCTTCATCTATGTTGAATTCATATAAAAAGCGAAGCTGAAACATAATCGATAAGCAAATTATACAATTTTTATACTTCTTAAAACTGAATTTTTCAACTTATAAACTCCTCCTATAAAGCTTTTTTTTTTTCAAGACGCGACGATGAGAGAAATTGTGTGTATAATCATGATTATAATATAAATTTATCGATATTATTATTTTTTTCTTTTTTACTTTGCATCTTTTCCCTTGACTGATAAAGAATGTAAATTTTCTTGCCTTTTGAGATACAAAAAAAAAGGTAAGCGAAGAAAAAATTTCTCATCTGTGTTGGGACACAAAAATGATTGATTGAATGGAATTTCTTGTTTTTTGGATGTTCAAGTTAAAATTTCTTATCGCATTTTTAAATGATTTCGAGTTTAAGATGAATTTAAATCTTACTCGTATAATGCGGGCGCACTATGTACGTAACATGATCATATAATGCGCACTATTACGTAAAATTGTGGTAATACTAATTTATTGCGCGCGTATTATATGCGTAAAATTAAAAACTTAAGTATTCGAAATATTTGACATGATTTTTTTTGCAGATCTTTGACGTAATTTTCTAACGAAATAAGAAAAGTCTCAATCACTCTTGAGCCCGACGACCGATGTTAATCCACAAAATTCAAGGGAGAAAATTTTCCTAGTTCGATTTATTAAAGAGAAGAGTTCTTTGTTCCTTTTTTTCAATACCTTACAATAGTAAATAATGCTTAATTAATTATCCTTGTTTTGTTTATCATTATTTTAAATTATGTTCACTAAAAAACTCAAGATAATGATGCTGAATATTTGCTTCCCCTGGACTTTTTGCTTTTGTATCGTACACCTGAACATATAATGATGGCGATCACTCGGAGTGATGATCATAGTGATGGTAAAAGATGATAACAACACTCATTTGAGTGATTGCCATCATTGTATGGTCAGGATAGTGGAAAAATAACTTTATACATCTCAATCGACAGTGCTAGAACTAATCTTGACAAAATTGTCAGTTCTAGTTCAAGCACTAAACGTCATGAGATGCCATCTTTCTTCTAATCCAATCATTATGATGGGAAAACTGAACATAATGTATATTTTGAGTTACAAGAGGTTTCATAAATTTTACACACACATCTGATTATTTTCGGGGGAGGGTTTTTTGCTTATAATTTTCATATTTTTTTTTCTTATATGCTTATCTCGTATGAAAAATGCTATCATTAAATTGTAAAGACTTGATTTTTTTTTTTTTCATTAAATTTTGGATTTGCTCACTTAACTTTATGGAAATCGTTTTCATACTTTACATAATCTTTAATCTTATTCTTTTTGTTTCTGTTATGTGATTGATGATTCAGATTTATCTTATTTTTTGATGAAGAAGATTTTAAAGAGTTTAAAAAACAAATTTTGGTTAATGTGATTACTTGTTTTTGTTGTTGTTTTAATCACAGGGATTTTTTTGTGTGTCGAAACTATTGCCTGCATTCCATGCTCGTTAATCGTTTTCCATACATTGTTTTATTTGTATAAATCAGAGAACTTAATAATTTGAAGAAAGAAATGTGTTTTTTTTTTGTATGTTCATCCTGTGTGTTTTTAAATTATATAAAATAGAAGAGGGAACAAGTTTTGTTGTAGATAGAAAAAAATTAAGAGTTGGTGGAGTGTGGTATTTTGTTTATTCATGGCGCAATTACGACACATCCTGATCTTCAACGTCTTGAATGGGCTCTTTCTGCTCTCCTTCACCTAAAATTGAATGTTTGTTTTAATAAATTGAAACTTTACAAAAAATGTAGTAGTTCTTACCATCTCCCTGCATGTCTGATGTCCAAAGAGTCAAGTTATCTCTTAATAATTGCATTATAAGTGTGGAATCCTTATAGCTTTCTTCACTGAGTGTGTCCAATTCTGCGATGGCATCATCGAACGCTGCCTTTGCTAGGCGACAAGCTCTATCTAAGATGATAAAGAAGAATGGATAGGGTTCTCGGTTAGTCAAAGTTGTTCATGTATAAAATAATTTCAAGGTTTAAATAAATGGATGGAAAAAGTGTAAAAACTTACCAGGTGCATTCAAAATTTCATAGTAAAATACCTACAAAATGACAAAAATTTAATTAGAAAATCTAGTCTCGAACAATCTCAAGTTTTGAGGAACTTACAGAAAAGTTCAATGCGAGACCCAATCGGATTGGATGTGTGGGTGGTAAGTCGGTCATTGCAATGTCACTGGCAGCTTTGTAAGCCACTAGTGAATTCTCTGCTGCTTCTTTACGATCATTGCCGGTTGCGAATTCAGCCAAATAACGATGATAATCGCCTTTCATTTTATAGTAGAATACTTTAGATTCGCCAGTTGTTGCGCATGGTATAAGATGCTTATCCAAAACATCTAAAATATCAGAACAAATGTCTCGAAGCTCTTTCTCTACTTGTGCACGGTAATTTTTAATCATTTCCAATTTCTCCTCTACACCCTTGTTTTCTTCTTTCTGTTCAATTGATGAAATGATTCGCCAAGATGCACGTCTTGCACCGATGACATTTTTGTAGGCGACTGAGAGTAAATTACGTTCTTCAACTGTTAATTCCACATCTGTTGATGCTACTTTTTTCATTGCATCAACCATTTCTGTTTAGAAAGAAAAGAAATGAATGAAAAAATGATTAATGGTAAAACTTATCCAAATGAAAAGATGAGAAATGAGGTAGAAATTGCTAGCTTTTGTTTGCTCAACTAATTTGCAAATTGCAAACAACTTTCACGACAATAAACCTCGGTATTGCGGCTAATTCGCCATTCTTATTAGAAACTAGCATCTATAAACATGTTATGTAATATATTTTTAGATATTATCGGAAATTCAGTATCAGCGAATGAAAACATTTTGCTAGATTCGATATGCCGATTACGATAAATAGAAATCCGTAAATCTAAAGCATTGATAAGATAGAATTGTAATAAAAACAAGATATAGTTCCATTAATATCAATCAGGTGCTCGTGCCATTAGCGTTTAAATGAATAAAAACTATTTTTATCGCATCTACAAATAAAAATGCATTGATTTTTTTCACATCATATAAAATTTCATATATTTTAGAGGGTAGAATAATTTAAAGCAAGGACATTGAAAGTAATGCTGCTCACAATTTACAAGACTGGTGATATTGCGTGTATAAAAGTAAAGTCGCATTTCTTTGACGAGAGATAAAGGAACAGTAAGCGCCGATAATCATTGAATTTCCATTACTCGCGCATATCCTTGAAGGATATTTTGTTATATTGTTCTCAGAACAAACTTTTTTGATAACATTAAATCCAAAAATAAGCATGAATGAACTTAGTATAAATGTGACAGAAAAGAATTTCATGGAACAGCGTGTCCATCATGTTTTATTGCTTTTGACAAATGCGAATAGCTGGAGAGAAGGTTAATGTCTTCTGGAAATAATTCGTGACACTAAAGCAATACTTGTAAAAAGCTGCCACACCCTAGACATAAAACAATTTCTGCTTATTATTCATTCCTGATTTTCGGCTTTAAAATTAGATTTCTAAATCGTATTTAACCCATTTTTAATTAAAACATGAAAGCTATTAGAAACAAGCGAAAAATGCGCTTTGACACCTGATTCATCCTCTAAACTTTCTTTCAATTTTGAATATGTCTAATCTCCATCAAACCCGAGTGAAAAGGTTTCCTATCAAAATATTATTACAGGATAGACGAGAGATATTATCTCATCAATCTTTTAAAACTCTTTGAGGGTCATTTATCATGAATTATTGATCAAAATCAAGCATGAAAAGTTTGAATAGTATTTGTCATGTATGCAAATGAGTCATAATCAAAATAAAAACTAGAAGCACTCAACTATCATAATAAGTTCACGTAAAGCGTGATGTCTGCTAAAATGCAGACTTTTCTGGTTGTAAATCATAAACCAGACGAAATATTAACGTTCAAATAAAAAGGTCTGCAGACTTTAATGGATTGGAAAATGAACTCCGGTGCTACTTTTTTTTGTTGCTGTGTGGGATTGGAAACAATCAATAATCATATAAATTCGCTTTGCAATCTTGATAACGAACGATGGCATTGAAAAATCCTGTTCAATAACTCGGAAATTCCACTTACTGTGCATGCTTCTTTTTGGGGTTAGAAAAATGAGAAATTTGTAAGTTTTATACTAGAAACAATGATTAATATCCTAAAATACTATGATTCACTATAGTGTGATTAATTTGATGATCTAACTCATTAGGCAGCATTTCTTTATTCAAAATTGAGTTTCCATAGAAATGAATCTGCTGTTCGTCTTAACTGAACCCTTAGAAAGAAGATTGAAGTTTTTCTCACTTGGATGTAGACAGCGTGTCTTGTTTTAATACATCCGAAAATATCGTGCCTCAATCACTGAGGAAGTCATGAAAATTTAGAACTTGAGCATCGTTTTCCGATAATATTTTGGGTAAACATTAAATTTAAAAATAGAACTAGTGCTAATGATATTTGCTTGAGTAAGCATATCGATGACAATTTGTTTAGACTTGATCATTTAGCTCTAAAACTGTCATTGACTATTTGAAACAAGTTCAAGATTCGAATTAACTTAAGCCGTTAATTTTGCAAATCAAACTCTGCGAAATCTTTTGATTAGACAAAAAGTTGAAATTCTTCGCTATTTAAAAATGTGCTAATGAGTCTTATTTATACAGAACATAGTCTCTGTCACGAAAGATCCACGTGAATATATTCTGTCAATATAAATTTCATATTATCATCTTGATAGGATTGAAGAAACTTGTGTAGAAAAAAATTTCTTGACATAAGCTTTTACATAGGTAGTTATGAATAATATATTTCATACCTATGTCATCCTTTTTAACAAACTCGTGTGCGTGTGTGTATATTTTAAGCTAGAGTGAACATTACTTGCGTAAAAAGGGATCAGACGAAATTTTAAGGCATAATAAAACATCAAGGAACATTGTACATATTTGAAGTATCGTGTAAACATGCCTCATAGCTCAGATTCTAATAGACCTAGACATAAATTCCTTACAGTCAACATTTCATAATACTTGTCATTTATTGCCAAAATACATACAATTTTCGATTTACTCAGAAAAGTGAACAATTAAGGTATTGTGAATCACAAGCATAGAAAAAAATGAGGGTTCCAATTGTTCCTTGGATGTATTTAACATTGAAAATGAAACGAATGAGTTAATAAAAGAAGGGAAATAAAGTCGACGAGGTTTTATGAAGAAAGTTCTCAACATGTTAGGAGTGTGAGGATGAAGAAAAACATAATTTTTTTAGGGTGGCTGCTTGTGCGCGAGATTTCATGTTGGAATTGCGCAAGTTCCAAATCAACCACCATATTCTAACACGTACAAAATTTAAATTACAGACATACAAGCTTTAGATTCTCTCTCTTTCACTCTCTCACGCTAGCGATGTGCTATGCGCTAGGTATGGGTACTCTTTGTATGAGAAATAAGTTGGAAATTTTTATGAATCGTCTTATTTCATGAATTTTTATTAAACTTTAAAATTAATTTTCATTCATTGGCAATCGTTTTTATGATTATGTCTTCCTATCACGCTAATGTATTTTCATTTATCGTCAATTGCTACATCATCATCATTCTATAGACACAGAACATTTGCGTCTACACATAATATACACACTAGATAATATACGTCATAACAAATAATAATAATAATCATTGGGGCTGTGAAAATTTAATTTTTGCTGCTTGCCTCGCTGAAATGACATTTTCACACCGCATAATGTCGCTTCTGGTATTTCATAATCTAATGGCAACAAATGACAATCATTAACAAGTGTTGGTTATTTGGTGTCCTTTGCGGGAGAACTTTATCGCGATTATCGAAGCAGAAATTTGTCCACAGCTTGCAATCAGCATGGTTTAGAATCTCAAAGCAATTTTGCAATGTTACAATTCCAGAGTTGGTTCAGTTTCTTGACAATAAAGCTATTTCGTCAGTCACATGTGACCAAGTCTAGCTCTAAATTAAATGACACTGCAATGCCGTCATTAAGACAGCGCACAAAGGTGATGAAAAGTTTTCACGTCAAGTTTAGTAGGTACGTGCTTAATGACACTTTTGTGCATATATCTTTAAGCTCACAATTTATATATTATTCATAGCAATTTCGAAGAAGTAAAGGAAAAGTATTCGGAACAAGTTTTATAGCCCTCGTGGGAATCATGTGACTGCAAACTTTTTCAATATTCACAAATCGTCGTTTTGACATCTTACAAGTGTAATCGCTAAATATATTGGCATTTATAATGACTGTTATGATGGATGTCCTCATAACATCAATTCCCCTCTTCACACATGTGTACATATTAAGAGAAGAACAAGAGAAAGGAAAGAACTGCACATGAAATTTTATATTTAAACAGGCGCCAAAAAATAGTATTCAAGTCCAATGAACTATACTTTCAGAAGTCTCGTGACAGGAATCAATAAATTACATATTTTTCATTTCTATTTGCTATTGCGACCTTAATTTTTCTTTAACTTTTATATCCAAGGAAAACGATCATGAAACGTAAAAGTTTTTTTTTTATTTCTAGATTGTGAATCATGGAAAAAATTACAGAAGTCCTCGTGTTATTGATCGAGGGACTTAAGCGCATTTTTGTGTTAGCGATCAGTATTTGATTATGTAATTATTTTGCGTTCATTTACAGATCATGAGAAGATTAGAAGATCATTAATTTTAGTGTAATTAACAAAAAGTTACAATGAATGCTTATATAGAAAGGATTATTATTTAACGGTCAATAAATAATTTGAAATTTTGCCGTTAAAAGTTGCACTACGAAAAAATTAATTATAGTATAATTAAATAATTTGTTGCAATGAATTTCCATACAGAAAGGATTTATCATTTAACGGTTTTTTTTAATTCAAATTTTCTAACGGTCAGTAAATAATTTGAAATTTTCCCGCTATAAGTTGCACTACGAAAAAATTAATTATAGTATAATTAAATAATTTGTTGCAATGAATTTCCATACCGAAAGGATTTATCATTTAACGATTTTTTGTAATTCAAATTTTCTAACGGTCAGTAAATAATTTGAAATTTTGCCGTTAAAAGTTGCACTACGAAAAAATTAATTATAGTATAATTAAACAATTTGTTGCAATGAATTTCCATACAGAAAGGGTTTATCATTTAACGGTTTTTTGTAATTCAAATTTTCTAACGGTCATTAAATAATTTGAAATTTTCCCGCTATAAGTTGCACTACGAAAAAATTAATTATAGTATAATTAAATAATTTGTTGCAATGAATTTCCATACAGAAAGGATTTATCATTTAACGATTTTTTGTAATTCAAATTTTCTAACGGTCAGTAAATAATTTGAAATTTTGCCGTTAAAAGTTGCACTACGAAAAAATTAATTATAGTATAATTAAACAATTTGTTGCAATGAATTTCCATACAGAAAGAGTTTATCATTTAACGGTTTCTTGTAATTCAAATTTTCTAACGGTCAATATAATAATAATTTGAAATTTTCCCGCTATAAGTTGCACTACGAAAAAATTAATTATAGTATAATTAAATAATTT